GACTGTATCAAATTTTATAGATGTCAACTGTTAATTCGGAAATGATATCAAGTGTTGATTCAAGTCGCACTTTCGTACTTGGTAAAAGACGAAAGAACAAACGAAATGTCTATGACTCGTTGATACGTTACCAACGTGCACATCGATTCGCAAGAATAATGAAACGAAGGATTTATCTGCGCTGCAAGGCTACATAGGAACGAGATGACCCAGAAGAGATGTTTAGCGTAGACTCTGCCAGTAGCATATGTGGGTCGGGAAAGGAAGACCCGTCTGTAGATTCGGCACGAACCAACCAATCGAACGCAAATGCTTAGAAAATTATCTTATTGTTGGTTTCAAATCCATTGATTGTATCAACTGTTGTAATCCTTTGCAATTCCTGTCTTAAACTCAACTACTGAATAAAAGAATCCTAATAAAGGAATTTCTGTTATTGTAGAATGAGTCAAGAATCTGCCCACGGACAAGGCAAGAATAATGAACACGTCAGTGTTCATACTGAAGCATCTAGCTTTACCCCTCCCGTCCAAAATGAACCCGTCAATCAACAAAATGTTGGGAATAACCTGAACGCTGATGGTCAACCCGACCTTGTGATTCCCACATTCCTGGCAAATGTATTACAACAGATAGCCAACACACCAATGTTTCAACCACCACCGCCACCGCGAGTGATAACCTACAAAACATTAAGGGATAACGATGCAGAATTATTCCTTGGGGATCGCATCGGTGAACCCCAAATTGCATGGGACTGGATCGAGCAGACTGCTCGAGTGTTGGAGGATCTTAACGTACCCATTGGCAACTATCCCCGACTGGCGTCTCAGCTGCTTCGCAAGGAAGCCTACGAGTGGTGGAAGAGGACCGTTGAGAGTGCAGGAACCCATAAGCCATGGACATGGGCACATTTCGAATGGGCATTCAAGCAAGAATATATTCCAAAACGTTTTAGCGAAGAAAGACGTAAAGAATTTGTCAAATTGCAACAGGGAGGCATGACACTCCCCGAGTATCGTCAGAAGTTTACCAGTCTTGCTAAGTTTGCACCAACCTTGGTGAGTACCCCAACCGATCGCATCGAGGAGTTCATGAAGAAACTTCGACTTGACCTCAGGTCGCGTGTGTCCGTCCTAACCACCGTGGATTTCATAGAGGCCTACGATCTCATAGCCAGGGCAGACAGCGACTTGAGTGCTTGCATTGAGTATCTGAAGACAAATAATGTCAGTTCAAGCACTCTGTCTCAAAAGGAAAAAGGCCCTTCCCGGAATCTAGCAATTCACACTTCTTAAAGAAGGGGAAATCGGTGCAGACGCACTCTGTGGCGTCGGAAAACAAATCAAGATGGTGGAAACACGCATTGTGCGATACATGTGGGAGACATCATCCAGGCGAGTGTTGGCTTGCCCAAGGATTATGTCTAGGTTGTGGCAAACCTGGACATTTTCGAAAGGATTGCCCCACTAATCCTGGCAAACCATTTCCGACAGCCCCAGTTGTCAGCATATCAGCATTAGCACGACCTGCGCCAAGTCAACGATCAACAGAGGGATCTAATCCGGCCAAGAACCAGAGTCAGCAATAGGGACGAGCTCCTGCTCGTACTTATGCAATGAAGGCACGAGCTGAGTAAAACCCTGACGCCATTCAGGGTATGTTTTCCTTATTTGATTCTGTCATGCATGTGTTGATAGACCCTGGATCAACGTTATCTTATATCTGCGTGCCTATGCCTGACAAAGCTGACGTAATGAAAGAAAACTTAGAACAACCTATACTAGTGTCTAACCCATTAGGGCATAGTATGAGGTTACTTCACGTATATCAAGATTGTTCATTGGTTGTCGAAGGAAAAGAATTCCTTGCCAATCTTGTTGAATTACCGTACAAGGAATTCAATATCATCCTTGGAATGGATTGGCTCACCGAGCACCAAACAGTTATTGATTGCCGACGACGAACGATTCAACTAAAAACTAAAGAGGGAAATTCTATTGAGGTGAAATAAAAGTTAACTCCTAAACCAACTGAGTTCATCTCGTACATACACGCGAGACGTCTCATTCGAAAGAAATGTGAGGCTTATCTATGAAATGTATGTGACACATGAAAGAAAACTTTTGAATTAAAGGACATATCGACAGTATGTAATTTTCCTGACGTATTTCCTGACGAACTTCCTGGTATACCATCTTCCAGAGAAGTAGAATTTTCCATCGATCTTGTTCCTGGAACAGGACCGATATCTGCAACTCCCTATCGCATGGCTCCTGCTGAAATGAAAGAGTTGAAGGCTCAACTACAAGAACTACTTGATAAAGGATTCATACGTCCGAGTGTTTCCCCTAGGGGAGCACCCGTCCTGTTTGTCAAAAAGAAAGACGGCTCGATGAGACTCTACATCGATTACCGTCAATTGAACAAAGTCACAATCAAAAATCAATATCCTTTACCTCGTATCGATGACTTATTTGATCAGCTTAGAGGATTTACTGTATTCTCTAAGATTGACTTATGGTCAGGATACCATCAAATCCCTGTAAAGAAAGAGGACATCCCAAAGATTGCGTTCCGTACTCGTTATGGTCATTATGAGTTTACGGTAATGCCCTTTGGTTTGACCAATGCTCCAGCAGTATTCATGGATCTCATGAATAGTATATTCCGACCTTATCTTGATCAATTCGTGGTTGTATTCATCGATGATATTTTTGTCTATTCGAAGAATCGAGAAGACCATGTGAAACATTTGGAGATAGTACTCAGCGTACTACGGGAACATAAACTATATGCCAAACTGTCAAAGTGTGAATTTTGGCTTGATGAAGTTACGTTTTTGGGACATGTGATTTCTCAAGAAGGTGTTAAGGTAGACCCTAGTAAAATATCTGCCATCACCGAGTGGAAGGTTCCAAGGAATCTTCGTGAAGTGAGAAGTTTTCTTGAATTAGCTGGATACTATCGACGATTCGTTGAGGAGTTTTCCTCGATCGCAACTCCAGTTATGTAACGCCCCGGAATCTGGCCCAAAAGAATTAATTAAATTGTTAGAGCAATTGATTACGAATTGGGCCCAATAAGGGGTTAAAATTATAATTTGGATTTTAAGCCCAACTTTTATGTCATCTCGTAGGAAATATTTTTGTGATCGCGTCGGTTCAGACGGCTCGCGAATCGGAGTTATGGAACTCAAGTTATGACCATTTAATCAGGTATTTTGGGTCCGAAGCCCAATCCTTTTTGGAATGGGACCATTAAATAAACCTAAACCACACAAACCTTATCTTATTTCTCCTTCTTC